AACCTTGCAGTATTGAAACTCAGTGAACAAGGCATCTTAGACAAGCTGAAAAACAAATGGTGGTACGATAAGGGTGAATGTGGAACCAAGGACTCTGGAAGTAAGGTCAGTCGCTGCAGGTCTTTTGTACTGATTCCAAATTGCATTTTGACGTACTGTTCATATGCAAGACAAGACTTCTCTGACATCTATAGTGTACATTTTGTTTATTTGCTACACATAATTTTTTTTTTTTCTTTTTTCTATTTTTTTTTTTTTTTTTTAGTTTTTCCGCCACAAACTGTAACACAGTTTATATGTGGCTTTGACAAAAGGCACTGCTTCCCTATTTTTTTTTCTTTTATTGCCATAGAAATGAGACATTTTTTGATGCCATATAAAATATTGAACCTCTTTTTTTCTGGTGAAAACTGTAATGATAATAATGTGGGGAACGTGCCTTTCAGATACACTATTTCAATTGAGTCACAGCAGTTAACAGTTGTTGATAAATGCTATTTTTTGCTCATTTTCACTCTTGACATTCATGATACTTTGACCATTATGCTGCTGTTCCTATTTACCAAACTGTTAATGAAAATTTGATTTATTTGTGTTGTTACTAGTTTGCATCGAGATGTGTCTATTAGATTCTTCGGCCTCCTGTGGTGTGATGAACAAGCAGAGCCTCTTATTGTGATGAGTTACTCAGATTCAACTTCTCTAAGCGGCGAGAGCGCCGTAGGGTGTCCTCTAAATCTTGTGGCTGCTCGGAGTTGAGGTTAGAGGCTGTGTTTGCACATTACAAGAAGTTGGGGAATGTAATAAACCCACTATTTAACCCTCTGAGATACAGTCAAAGCCTCAGATTATAGGTCAGGGTTGCTAGATAGCTTTGTATCCCCATGCTCATAGGGTTAAACTGCAAATAGTAAAACTCTAATGAACAAATTTTTAATGAATATGTTTGGTAGGTAAGCAGCAGCAAAATGGTTTGATCCTCAGTGTTTTTTTTTAACTTTATAATGGAGCTATCATTCATCTATTATGAATTTGACTGTACTGTATGACAATGTTGCCATGAGAGTTATACGTACATGTCTCCAAGAAGATTTAAAAAAAATTAAATAATCAAAAAAAAAGATAGGGAATTTAAGAGCTGTCGACCTATGCGATACTGACCAGCTTCCTAACATGGTCAAGAGCAGAAGCCATTTTACATACATGTAGTGTAGGGAAGGGAAAGCTCTACATTCACCAGCAGACAGAGCATTAAGAGTTGGCTTCTTTCTCCTTAGCGGAGAATGGTTTGACTATGGCAGTCTGTAACACAGGAAAATCAGTCCAGTCGAAATTCCAGCCTTAGCACCTCATTACATCTTCAATTTTTGGTTGCTTGTAGCTGTTAGTGTTCATAATCTGCCATAATGTAGCACCAGTAAGATAGAGTATGATGATTTACCAGTGCAGTTTAACTCAAGGCTATGTGAGATTCAGTTTGAAGGATACAGGCTGTATTTTGTTCTGCTGCCTGTGCTCCACTGCAAAACTCTTAACTGTGTTATTCACTTTCCCCCAGGACAAGACAAGTGCTCTCAGCCTAAGCAATGTGGCTGGTGTCTTCTATATTCTGGTTGGAGGGCTGGGGCTGGCCATGATGGTGGCTCTGATAGAGTTCTGTTATAAATCACGGCAAGAAACCAAACGGCTGAAATTGGCCAAGAATGCCCAGAATTTTAAGCCGGCTCCCCCGACCAACACCCAGAACTTTGCCACATACAGAGAAGGCTACAACGTATACGGAACCGAGAGCGTTAAGATCTAGAGGTACGTCCCCTCCGCTTACTATCCGCACTGTGGGAGATGAATCATTTAGCTTCCTGTCATATCAGTGAGAGTGAATAATTCATTTGTGTGTGTTGCCATGTGGCTGCTCCTTGTGAAATTGTTTATGGTTGTCATGTTGGGCACAACAGAACATACATGCCCCACTCAAATACAAAACTTGTTTATACCTTGGAACATATAGCTGCGCAGACAGTGCCTCAAGCTACAACACACAATCTCAGCAAGTTAGCAGATACACAACCTCTTGTTTTGTGCTGTATCACAGAACTGCTGTATAGAGTTATTTTGTGTATAAATTTAAAGGGTAAGTTAGGTATTTTTCAACCAGGAAGCTTGTTTTTGCCACTGACATGTTCAGATTATTATTTTAAGTATCTGACAACATTATGGAAAGGATCCCTACAGAGACAGACCGTTTATTAAAGAGTAAGATCCTTTTTGTTTAACCAGAAACAGCCCTGAAATCGCTATTGCCAAATCCACCAGACTCCATTTAAATAAATCGTAATTTTATCATTGTAAAACACTTCATTCAAAGTTGACAGAAATAACATAAAACTCACAAAAAACATCTTGGCTCATCATTCCACTGTTTCAACAATCACCAACTTTGGTTTTGTCAAAATAAACACGTAACTTACGCAGTTAGATGTGAAAATATGCTGACTCTGTACGCACTATAATTACTGTTTATTTGAATGGAGTCTGGTGGGTTTGGCGACTGCATTTTCTGGGGCTGTTTCTGGTTCAACAAAAAAGATCTTACTCTTCAACAAAAAGGTCTATCTGAGCCAGTCAGTGGCAAAAACAAGCACTTTTAGTGAATGTGAATTCAATTCAAACATGCTGTGAGTGGCTACATTGCAGCTGCCAACTGCAGCAGTCTCGCTTAATACTGGACCACTTTAAAAATGTGTTGATGCCATCAGTCACTTAGACAAAAAAACACATTATCACCCCCAACTCGTCAAATATGGCAGCTTTGTCACTGGCCCTAGGCTTCAAACTATGATGCACTATGTACCCTTCTAGTGTCAGTTTTGAATGTGGCCCCTGGTTTCACAGCAGTCTCCTGGGTGAAAGTTCTGTGTATGTTTGACACATTTATCCACTCAACCTCCTCCCTATGCAGACTTTCTTGCTCGTTATACTTTGTTTGTTGCTCTGAGCATCTATTACTACCACACAGCGTGCTGAATGATTTATTTTGCCCGTACAAAACTATTTTTAGTCGCAAATGCAAGTGCGGTGACAGACGGAGTAAAATATCGCCACACTGCCGACATTTTACTCCGTCCGTCACCGCACGCTGTTTGATTGCGTTATCAAAACACGCCGCTATTATTCGGCCTTGCTTTTCACTTATTCCACCGAATACCGAATGTGTGGTTTTTTGCAATATTCG